CTTGTAAATCTTTAATGCCAATTAAAATATCAGTTTTTTCTTTTATTTCTCTTTGTAAACCAGGGATAACTTTTTTACCAGAATCAATTTTTTCACCTGATCAATCATAGTATCCAAGTAGAACTTCAGATAATTGTTTACCAAGAAATATGTTTCCAAACTCATCATAAAATACAATGATAGCAACATTGCATTTTTCAGGAAAAAACATGATTGAACTAATACTATTTACTAAGTATAACTACTTTATTTATCATTTTTATTGTGATATAAAAATAAGTATAAATTAAGTTTAAGATCTTTTTTAAGTTATTAAGATGGATTCAAAGGTAGTTCATGAAGAGTACCAATATCTAAATCTTATTGAAAATATTTTAAATAATGGCAAATATAGAAAAAATAAAACTGACACTGAAACTATATCAATCTTTCTTCTCCTCAATTAAGATTTAGTTTGAGAAATGGTAATTTTTCTCTTTTAATAACTAAAAAGATGTTTATAAGAGAAGTTGTAGAAGAACTTTTTTGGTTTATTGATGGAAGTACAGATGTTAGAAAATTACCAAAAAGAGGTATTCATATTTGGGATAAAAATGCAGATGATAAAAATGATCTGGGACTGATTTATGGGTTTCAATTGAAACATTCTAATGCAGACTATATTAACTGTAAAACTGATTATTCTGATAAAGGTGTAAATTAATTAGAATATGCGATCAATTTGATCGAGACAGATCCTTCAAATAGAAGAATCATAATCAGTTTTTGGAATCCTAAAGATTTAGAAAAAATGATATTACCACTTTGTCATGTCTTTGTTCAATTCTATATTAAAAATCTGAAAAGTAAAACAAAAAAGAAAAGCTTATCATGTCATATATATCAAAGATCTGATGATGTAGGATTTGGTGTACTATTCAATATCGCAAATTATGCATTGTTAACTCATATAATTGCTAACATCACTGGTCTCAAAGCTAAAGAACTTATCTTAACTCTTGGTGATGCACATATTTACTAAGATCATAAAGAAAATTACAAGAATAAACAAAAAGAAAACTATATGAATTTTCAACAATTTCATTTAAATATGAATATAATAATTTAGAACAGTTTAAATATAAAGATATCATTATAGAAAATTACATTTCTCATGAGAAAATCAAACTTAATGTTTCTTAGTTTATTTGTTTAGATTCTTAACATAGTTTTGATTCTGTTCAAATGATTAATAAAATTAATATGTGCTTTAAATTTGATATTGCATAGTGAATATTTACTACAAATAAATAAATAAAAAATCTTTTTTCATTTTTTCTTCATTTTTCTATCTGGGCTTCTTTTATCTATAGTGTATATCTTATTATGATTAATTTGTGAATATTCAGTTGTAATAATTGTCGCATAGTTCTAGAACAACCCTTGTACCTGATAAGGGGAATGTTGATTGACAACGGCTTGTATAGTATAGTAAAGGGGATGAATGGCACTCAGAAGTATGCTTTGACGGGATCACGTGATCACGTGGGTGAGCAACGTTATAATCGGGGCATCGGTGTTGGTCGACATTGATGGATCAGGTACCACGTGGACTTCGAGTAATGTATGGTTATTGATTATAGTAATTATGACGGAATTAATTTAAAAGTTTATTATAGTAATATGAATAATAGTTTATAGTAGTATAAGTGAATAAGTTAATAAAAGTATGTAGACAAAATGATGTATTTTATGATTCAATATAAATAGAGGTCGTAAATAAAAGGAAAGGGTGGTTAGTCTTTGGACTAGTATGAATAAGAAACAGTATGTTTAGTGTAAAGTGTTTACTTACCAAGTGACGGTGTGCGAAACAAAAGTGTCAAGCGAGACCCATCAGTTCCTAAAACCCTTTGACTAGATAATGATAGCCACGGCTACCGTTTAACCCCGTGATAGAGAAAGACCTGGGCACAGAAGGTATCTCTTGCAACAATAACGACGACAAGTACTTATAAACAGGTGTCTCTGTAACGCAAGGTACAAGTTTAAGAAGAGTGTCGACGATAGTTAACAGAATAGCTGAACCAACAACGTGGTAGTAGAGATTGAATAAACAACAAAATCGGGTTATTAGTAAGGTTACGATTACATACATATCAAGTACCAAACAAGGAAATAAACACAAACCTTACACGGAAGTGATTGACCATGATGACACAAGATCTAATGAAGCCATTTTACCATAGTCATGAAAATGAAGATATGGAGGACTTTCTCTTCGACTTTGAAATGTATGCAGAGTCAAAGCAGTGGGATGATGATCATAAGAAAAAGGTTGTAGGGTTACACGTTTCTGATAAAGTAAAGGTCTGGGTGCATGAATTAATGAAAGCTGCATCTACTTGAAAAGACCTGAAGACTGGAATAGTGAAGGTGACAAAAACCAAATACTATGCTGAAGAAAAGGTTGTAAGGTTGATGAAAGTTAAACAAGAAGAAAATGAATCAATAATCGGGTATACCAATAGGTTTAAACCTTAGCTAAGATTCTGAAAAATAACATGTGGGAACATGAAAAACATAAATGGTACATAGCTGGATTGAGAGATGAATACAGAGCCAAGGTTGAAATGTACTTCCCGACTGACTTTGACGAAGCAAAAAAATTGGCTCTGAAGATAGAGACATATAGTAAAGACAATGAATATGATACTCAAAGAGCAACTAAAGTATTGATAGAAGAGTCTAATGTGGGAAATAAGTTTGACGTAGATGGTCTAACTGCGGCAATGAAAGGTTTGAAAATATGTAGAGTTGAGAAGAGCCCTGATAATGATATTCAAGAAATAAAGAATGCTGTAAAAGAGCTCACGTTGGTGGTGAAAGATCTAGCTATCAAGAATACCCTACAATGGCAAAATAATCGAAGCACGGCACCTTCACGTTGCTTTACATGCCGGAAGGATGGACATATATCACGTGATTGCCCAGATAAGACCCCAAGAAATCGGCTTGCATACAAACCTGAAGATTGGTGGGGTAAGGGTGCATACAAACCCGAAGATCGGTGGAATATGGGTGAAGGATCAAAGGACAGCAATGTGAACAATCAGGAACCTGACGTCTGACTTGTAGATATTACTAATGATGCACTAGATAATGATGAAGAATACTTAATAGTTGAATTAGTTGAAGAAAAGCCTGACTTAGCTGATATAAGGAATTTGGGTAAAAGAAAAAAGGACGAGTCAGTCATAGAAAAACCTAATAAAAGAAGAAGACCATGTAAAACAATAGAGGTACATCCTGTGGAAACATCTCCTACTCGTAAGGAAGATACTGGTAATTCGATTATGTATATGCCTTTGACCGACTTGGTCGAAGATCTTGACGTTTTAAAAACTGTTGCCTATTTAAAATTTAATATATCACTTGGACAATTATTTAAATAGTCACCGAAGGCTAGGAGTGAAATTATGAAAGCTTTAGCACAGAAAAGGAGGGATATTGATGTAACAAATGTTGATGTTCGATTGCGATTTGTAAAAGGAAGCAGTATTCTTGGTGCCACAAATGAAATAGTACCTGTTTGGTCAGCCCTGATAAATGGAGAAGTTGTAAATGTACCAATTAACCCCGGTTCACGCTTGAATTTGATGCACGTGAACTATGCAAAGAAGTGAGGTTTAATGTGGCAACGAGCACATGGAAGAGGAAGAATGGCCACAATACATTAAGTGAATTTGTGGGATATATATCCCAAGTAAAGGTTGAATTGGAAGGTGTGGTGACAAGTCAGAATTTCTATATAATGGAATCAGCAAGCTTTGATGTCCTATTGGGAATGCCATGGCTGGCTAGTGCTCATTGTAATCTTTACTGGAAAAAGAATGAATATTGGTGTACTGTTTCGTCATTGAATAGGGAATCATTGTTTCTTGTTTCAGTTGTACCGAAGAGTTGGGTAGGAACGAATGAAAATGAGGAATTGGATGAATATGATGATGTTGAGGATGAAATTAATCATGTTACTGCCATGCGGAGGTTTCAGATCATAGAAAATGAGGTCCAGACCTCGAAAAAGCATAATGAACAAATGGAATCTCAATTCAGTCAAAATAAGCCATATGATCTGCGAACTCACGAAATTAAAAGTCGATCGAAAGTATAGAGTCTCACAATGTTGTGGAGATTAACAATGGAGAATGTAACTTTGCTGAATTTTGGGCCAAATCTTTCATTAGAAGAAAGGCAATATATTTCAGGTCGGTTAGTAGAGGAGGTATCAAAAGCATTTGCTTTTGATTTGTCTGAATTGGGTTGAACCGATCTCGTGGAATATGAAGTAAGGACTGGAAATGCAGAAATACCACCCATGAGACTCAGACCCATCCGAATAAATAATCCAGAAAAGGCAAGATTATTTGAAGAACATTTAAAGGACATGATTCGATATGGTTTACTAGAGGAAGGTAAAGGACCATATGCATATCATTGTTTCCCAGTTGACAAAAAGGAAGGGGGAACAGATCGATTACGTGCCGTGGGCAACATGAAGCCACTAAATAAGCATATAATTAAGAACAGTTATCCACTCCCAATCATTAGAGATATTTTGGAGAAAGCAGCTGGGCATGACTGGTATTCAAGCGTAGATGCATTTAAGGGTTATTGGCAAATTCATATACGTGAAGAAGACAGAGATAAGGTGGCTGTTTCAATGATGTTAGGGGTACTGCGGTATACTGTGATGTGTATGGGTCTAAAGAATGCTAGTGAGACCTTTCAGAGGTTGATGGATTTGGTTTTAAAGGATGAAGAATGGAAAAAATCAGCTGCCGCGTATCAAGATGACGTTGGGTTATGGACGAATGGTGATTTAAAAAAACACTTTGATGTATTTGTTAGGCTAGCGAAAACATTTGAAAAAGCTGGATTAACTTTCGCTGCTAAGAAATGTTTTATTGCATTTAAAGAACTTAATATGTATAGTTTCATCATAACTAAAGAAGGAATAAGAGTTGACACTAAAGGAATAAAGAAAATCCAAGAATGGACAGAGCCGAAGAATGCGAATAAAGTACAGTCGTTCCATGGTACGGTAGGCTATTACCGTTGATTTATAAAAAACTTTAGTGAAATTGCGAGCCCGTTGACCGATTTAATGAAAAAAAATAGTAAATTTTACTGGAAAGCTGAACAGCAAGAGTCATTTAAAAAGCTAAAAGAGGTACTACCAAAAGACGTAGTATTGAAGGGACCTGATTAGGAAGGAGCGAAAAGGGGCACGAGGCCATATCACTTGTTCACAGATGCATGTGACAAGTCAATTGGGGCAGTCTTGGAACAAGACGATGGCAAAGGAAATTTGAGGCCTATCACGTTCGAATCTAGAAAGTTAAACAAGCATGAAATGAATTATACGGTTACAGAAAAGGAATGCTTAGCAATTGTATTTGGATGTAACTCCAATGAGCGATATGTCGGAAAGACAAAATTTAAAATATGGGTCGACCACCAGGCCTTTGAATGGTTGTTCAATAAGGCAGAATTGAAAGGGAGATTAATGTGTTGGATTCTAGCACTACAGGCCTTTGAATTTGAGGTCTGCTATAAGAGTGGTAAAAGACATGGCAACGTGGATGGAATGTCGAGATATCCAATGAAGAATATGAATGAGAATGGAACTGATGAGTGTTTTGTGGATGAGTTTATTATGCGTGTCGGCGAATTCGACAATAGTGTTACAGATTTGAGGTGGATTCAAAGATATTTAACAAATTTCAAATGGGACAGAGAGATAAAAACTGCTGATTTACCTTGATTGCGATAAAAACTAAAACGTTACTGCATTATTGGAGACCATCTGTATAAGAGGTCGAAGGGTGGTGTTCCACCTAAGCATGTCATTTTTGACGATGACAAGAAATACAAAATAATTGAGGCAAATCACCATGGCACAGCCAATGAGGAGAGTCATAGAGGCATTAATGGAACCGCAAGAAAGGTATTAATGAACTATAGTTGGGCCTCTGGCAATTTGTATGGCGAGGTTGAGAATTTTGTAAAATCATGTTTTGAATGTCAGAAATGTGCATTAAAATCAGTAAAAAAACTGATTCACATGACTGCTACAAGTTGGATTTTTCATAAACTCTACATTGACTGTGTAGAACTATTGTCTCGAACGAGTGGTGGTCATGAGCACGTGGTTTTAGCGATTGAAGAACTAACGGGATATGTAGAAGGAAAGGCATTGCGAAAAAAGAATGTGAATGAAAATGAGTTACAAAAATTATTACATGGACCTATAGCTAGGACTAATTTATCCTCAGCCCAAAACTCTACTAG